TGTAATCTTAGCCCTCTCTGAATTCGACAATTTTCTGTTTTTCATAGCCTTCATATTTCATTTGAAAGCTCTATTTATCGCCTATAAAATAAATGGAAACTTTTTTTTAACCATTTGTTATCGATCTTTGATCAGAGCGCCAAAACGCCGGAAAAGTAAATATTTACATTTTAGGTCATTGACATTGGCTGTTCTTTTTCTTTTCTTTTTCGGAAGGTTATGTTTTGATTGTTTTCATTGTTTTGACGCGTTTTCAGCTTTCAGTTTTCACTGTAAATATGCATATTTTTGCAAGAAGAGAAGCCCCGGAAGAAGGCTATGTAATATCAAAATATGATTATGTTTTTATATAAAAAAACAAATACACGTTTTGGTGATGTAAATACATATGGGACATGGGGAGTTGGGACATGGGTTGACGGGTATATATTGTTTCATTTGTATTTATTTTTAATGAATCTTTGTGCAGTGGAGTATGTATTTTGTTTTGGTTTTTTCAACAAAATATAATGTCCCAATCAATGTGGTCAGTTGTCACTCTGTCTGAGAGTCTGAGACTCCGAGGCTCTGCCGCTCTGATTCAGAGTGTCTGACTGTCTGACAGACTGAGTGACTGACACTCTCCCGACTCCCGGTCTCCCCTCTCGGACCCCTCCCCTGGGCCCTGAGACCTGAGTCCCCTCACCGGCTCACCCCCCCTGTGCCTGAGTCTGCCCTGAGAGGCTGAGAGACCCTGAGACCTGAGTCAGCTAAGCTCACAACGTTATGGGGGTACGGGATAGAAGTTGAACGTAAACGCTTATTTATTCGATATAAAAACGTTATAGCGGATATGATGTAATCACAAGGGTTTACCTAACTTCTTTTTTAGAACTGGTTCGTACAGTGAACAGGGTATACACTTAAATCTTTAGACCCGAAAGCTGCACCTATGAGCATACAAAGGACTGCATATGAAATAAGAGTTGAACGTAAACGTATATCTATTCAATTTGTAAAAGTTTAACGGAAATCGGTTTGAGGTTAGCCTGAGTGCCTGTGTGTGTGATTGTGTGAAGTGATGAGTCTTCAGTCCTCACTTCCTCACTCCTCGAGCTCACTCCATATTTTAAAAAAATTATTAAGACACAACTAAATTTTGTTTTTTTTGCTTTTTTGTTGTTTTATCTAAAAACGAGAACAAAAAACAAACAACCTTAGGGTTTCAGAGTTCAGCGTCATTTCTTTTTTTAAACTATTTTTTTTGATTTGTTCATTTTTTTATTTTGTACAGCAAATCAAAACCACAATAAACATGAATACATATTTGTACATATTTAGATATTTACTGATTGAGTGATTGTACACTTTAAAAAAAACGAAAATATTCACAGAACCATTGCCCTCTGATATAAAACACAGACAAACCAAACACCCTCTATACGGCTCTCGTACATAGAACAACATTCTATCAAAGCCGAGGCACATTAGTTTCGGAAGCGAAAGGAAGTGTAGCTATTAAATTGTCGTACGAAGCTATTACTCTTCCGTGAATAAGCAATTATGGCCGAAAACAAGGTATTCCAATGTCCTTGACGTCATTCAGAAGCTGTTTCTTCTCAAGCTGTCTCGTCTCACCTTGAAAATACATACAGTATATATATATATATATATATATATATTTGTGTGTGTGTGTGTATGTATATATGTATATATATATGTAGATATATGCATATATACATGT